TGAGACTTGCAAGCTTGAAAAGTGCCACCAGAGACACCGTGAGATGAAATGATGGCTGGCACTGAAGAGATTTAGTAATCCTAAATTGTTTCAGTACTGTTAGGATTCTTGATTTTGAGACAAAGAGTAGCACGGGAAGACAGCAGTCAGTAATATGACACGGAGTCAGGGAGAAGCAGGAGTTAAACAGAATTCTGTGTGCCATTTAATAAAGTATATGTTATAGCCACCACCACAAATTTGATTTGAACAATTTCTCTTTTTTTGTTAGAAAAGATGTTATTATAGGTCAATCATTTCCATAAGTGAGAGCACATTGCTGGTGTATGCTACACTGACAGATGGCTGGAAGACCTTCCTTTCATGATCCCAGGCGGGATAAAAAGGCAATTTACTATCTATAGGGCTGTGGGCACACTGGTAATGGCAGAGAATCATTCTTATACAAAATAACTCAGTGTTTGAATCTAAACTATCAAATGAATCTGAGCTATTGCCAAATCAATTTGATAAACCATCAGAATATGATTGTGCTGGCATCAACCTGCAAAGGCAGTGCATTAAATTGTCCCCATAGGAAATTCTTTCCCAAAGAAACAGAAATTGTGCAATGGCTGAAAAAAAAAGTAAAAGAAAAAGCTTAAGTGAATTCAGAATATCAGGTTAAAATGGTTGCTAATGTTCAAGGTCAAGACTCGTGAGGAGAAATGAAGGTGCTGGACTGTTCTCAACTCCATGGAGCTCTTGTGCACACTCTTGGCTAGTTCCACACTGTATTTTTTTTTTTCCCAATGGAACGGTTTGCCCTTGGCACCCTTAGGTATTTAGAGGCCTTCCATCCTTCCTTTACTGTTCTAGAAATTTTGTCTTCAGGAAAGGCGTTAGGGTAATCTTCATGCAACTCCCTTAGTATCCCTTACATATATCTTCTGGGAACTGTGGCTGTTCAGGCATACAAGACTCACCACAGTAAGCTTGTGTAGGAGATATTGTGCATGCTGGGCAAGGCTCCCAATTCTCACTATTGGTTCCAGGGCAGTGATTCTCAGAGCATTCTTGTACTTGCTACATTGGATCCACTGATGGAAAATTGTTAAAGATGCAAATTCTGAGGCTCCTACCCTGACCTCCTGACTGTCAAGCTAGAATAGTCAAATGTTGTTCCAGCTATGATTCTGACTCACAAACCAACCTAGAGTCACTGAGGTGGCTCACAGCCACGTTCTACTCTGGATATTGTCCCAAGATTTGGGACCCCCCCCCACTCCTGCTGAGTTCAAGACCTGGTCCCTTGCCCTAATTCAATACAACATTGAAGGCCCATCTAAACTCCAGAGATCTCCATATGTTGAGGTTCTGTTGCAAATATATCCCAGTTCAACTTCTCCTTTACACTTATTCTTGCTTTCATTAAGAATTCCCATTCAGTGTGAGAATTTTCTTCTAGAAAACTCCTAAAGACAACCAGATATATCTGAGTTTTCTTTTGGTGAGCAGCGGGTCAGTCTGTGCCAAGGTCTAACATTATCCTGGCTTGAGTATCTGGCAGCTACTACACATTCCAACTCCTCCTACCAGGAACTCATAGCCTTTGAGACAGACTCATCTGCTGCCTATCTCCAGCAGAAACAGCTGTCAGGCCAGAGCTTAGCTGAGCTGGCATGTCAGGATATAGAAGTGGGAAGTAGGCTAGTCCTCTGCTTGCATCCCAAGTCAGCAAAAGAGAGGCTTGAAGGGCATCAGTGGAATAACCTGTAAGCTCCAGATAGGAGCATGATGTTAAAGCAATCCACCTTCCCCTAAGGTGAGGAGAAGGAAATTCACAATTACAAACTCAGCTTTTGGCCAGGCTCATGCACATGTACCCTCATGCAAGGAGAGATAAGATAAGTGTGATATATTATTACTCTCTGCCATTTTAAGCCATGAGAAGTGCTTCATAATTCCATTGGATTTTCTGTAAATTTTACTCACTCAGTTCTGGCCAGATGCTCCCATAGTAAAAAGTGATAAAACAAAAGGCTTTTAACTTGAAGACCCTGTATAACTCCTTCTGAAAGTAACATCTCTCTTCCTCTTTACATTGGTTGCAGGACTGACTGGGAAATATGAATCTTATATTCTCTGTTATGCATTCTTCTTTTTAGGAAAAAATTATTTTTATTGCAAAGTCAGATATACAGAGAGTAGGAGAGATAGAAAAGATCTCCCATCTGATGATTCACTTCCAAAGTGATGGCCAGAGCGGATCCAATCAGAAGTCAGGAGCCTGGAGCCTCTTCCAGGTCTCCCACATGTGTACAGGATCCCAAGGCCTTGGGCCGTCCTTGACTGCTTTCCTAGGCCACAAGCAGGGAGCTGGATGGAAAGCAGAGCTGCTGGGATTAGAACCGGTACCCAGATGGGATCCCGGTGCATGCCAGGCAAAGACTTTAGCCACTAGGCTACCATGCCAGGACCTCTCTTAAGCATTCTAATGGAATGCTTTGGTCCACCTGCTCAGGAAAACACAGGAAAGCTATTCTTCCATGCCATGTTTACCATTCATGGCCTGTCTTCTGAGGCTGGGAAGGTGGTGTCATTTTCTCCTGTATTTTGGTTCACAGCTAGTTGCATGGTGCCTCACTGAAAGATGTTTAGATGTTTGAGTAGACGAATTTCTGTTAACACTATATGGTAGAAACACATGAAGTATAAAGCAGAAGAGCTAGTTTCTGGTCTAAGCCCTTCAGCTGTAGTCTGATCTTCAAATAGATTCTTTACTTCCTCCACCTCTGGTTTCCTCAGGTGGAGAAGGGCAAGTTGGGACTCCCATTTAGCTGGGCCTTTCCCAGGAGCAGACAGGGGTTAAAGTGCTATAGATTTGGTGTTGTATCTGTTGCAGTTCACATATGGAAACTTAGCCTATCACTGACATCCTGTCTTGAATGGAGAGAGGTACTTATTTAGGAACCCTGAAATATCTTGGAGTTTTTGGCTAAGAGAAATTGACAGCTCACCTGGGTGTCAAAGACATCATAATTCATGTCAGAGTAAATTTGTTTCCCAGGTACTCTTGGAATAAGGAAAATTGAGCATTGTAAGTTCTCAGTACTTTGTATTCTTGACCACTTGGCACTGTATGCCTGGTGCTTTCCCTTTGTTAGACCCATGTCCTGCTTTACACTTCATAGCATACATCAACCTGACATATGAAGGTGTATATTAAAATACTATCCAACAACATAAGGTTTCCAAGAGGAAGAACTTGATTTAGTTTCCCATCCCATATATGGGACATGGTGGAAGATGATCCTTAATGTCTTTCTACTGGGGTGGTTCAACAAGTTAAGCCTTCACCTGCAAGTACCAGCATCCTATATAGGCAGCAGTACATGTTCCGGCTGTTCCAGTTTCTATCCAACTCCCTGCTATGACCTGGGAAAGCAGCTTTAGAGAATGGGCAAGTAGGTAAAACATCTTACTCTCTCTGTGTCTCCTACTCTCTGTAAATCTACCTTTCAAATGAAAACAAATCTTGAAAAAGTCTGTCTACTGAATACGTGAAAAAAGCACACAGTACAAATGTGTATCTGTAGGTTTCATGCATATTTAAGAAACAGCTATTATTGCCTTCTTCAATGTTTAGGTGAAGAGACTTAGGTTTTGGGAGTAAAGGAACTGCTGTTATGCCTCTGTTTGAATCATGCCAATGCTCTCTTTTGCATATGCTTCCCATTTAACACTAGCCATTTTGGAATAACCTTTGAACTTGTCCAGGATAATAAATATACCTGGAGGAATCCATTCCTTCCTTCAGAGGGAACAGAATCTCGGGTGTGGGGTCATCACACATTCTTTGTCATAAATACTTGACATTTAATATTTATGTAGCTTCTGCTGCACCTTTTGGGCCAAATGATTGAGACACATAGGTTATAGCCTGAAGGAGATGAACAGTTATCAGGCAAAGACAAAAAAGATGTTGATAATTGTTAGGCAAGTAGACCACTAGACATGATAGCTGACACCACAAGATAAGAGGTACAAGCATGGGACTCCCAAATGCTTCAATTGACTATGGATAATCTACATAAGGATAATCTAGTGAAGTTTACACAAACTATTCTTATATTTAATTGTTTGCTTATCCTTCCTTTTTGCATCAAATTACATCCTTCTGGATTCCTTCTTCCTGAAGCAGCTACTTTAGGGAACTCAGTAGGCTTTGCTTAGAGCCCAGGAAACAAGGTATTTATAAATCCTTCGGAAAATGTGATTTAAGAGGACAGCAAGGTTACACAGGAGGAGGAAGGAGCTGATAGCTGAGATTGTCAGATTTAAGAGCATGTGGGACATAAAGTAATCCTTGATGGAATGTGCATCATAGGTTAGAAGAGAAAAGGGAACATTTAGTTTTGGAAGGAATGATAGGGGTGAAGAAGTGACAATAGAAAAAGAGTAGCAGATTTAAGGCTCTGGGGGAACTGAATGTGTCCCAAGGGGTCTAGAGAGAAGATCCCAACACAATGCACATTTGATTCTCACTGGGTTGAAGAAAACTCCAAGCTGCTGAGTTTTAGGAAGGAGACCTGTACTGTCTTTTCCAGGGAGGAGACCCAGTGAAGAGGGGTTATGAGTCTACACCAGGAGTCAGACCTGTTTGACCTTATATCCATGTTGTAACATTTACCTGGCCTTGAGTGGGTTACTTAGACCATCCGTGTAGGCTAGTTTTTCCTTGAATGGGAGGTTATTATAGGGATCAAGTGAGAAAATACATCTTCACTCTTAAGAACACTGTCTGGCTCTCAGTAAGTCCTCATTACACATGAGTACTATTGTTGCTCTTGTGTTGAAAGCTATACTGTGGATCAACCTGATTCATCCCTGTAAACCTTTTCAGATAAGCATGAATACAAACTGACATTGATTGCCAGTTGTGTTCTTGGAGCTGGTGAGAGGTGCCTACTAGGTAACACAGTTGAGTTCTTGCTCATGGAAAAAGGGCAGCTACTCACAGAACGATGGGTCCAGAGGCTCCCTGAAAAACATCATTAGGCAGTTCTTCCAAATTATTGTTATCACTTAGGTTCCTGGGAATATAGTTGAAGAAAAGAAAAAGGGAAACATAAAGACATGTGAATTTCACTATTGTAAGAGCCATTTCCCTCTAAATGGCCTGGAAGAATAGTCAGGGTTACTTACAGCTCATCTAGTTGGGTTCCGTTGAATGCACAGTTGTGTATTTCTTGAATCCCATTCTTTTTCAGCCATCTGAAATAAAAGGCTCATTAGAAACCCAACAATATCAGATGCAAACAATACAGGGATTTCATAATTGGAAGCACTGTGCAAGGTCAGCAGCACAGGTAAGAGGCAAAAATAAAATGCTACTCTTAAAACTTAGGGACAGGAATGGGAAGGAAATTGATTCATCTCTGTGTTGTCTTTTGTAACTTCTGAAGTTTGTATTGTGTGAATACATTGCCTGTTCAGAAGAACAATTGAAATTGAGATTTTGAAAAGGCACACTGAGGTGCTATAGACTGGATCTTGTAACTATAGGGGCTTTACACACACCCTGGCTGCTATTGGGTTACAGTAGGGGAGAGGGACAGAAAGAACTCTTTCCCTATGCGATTGTTGAACAGGTGTTTCTAAGACAGGAAAAGAACATTTTGTGTCATCTTTCTCTGAGGTCTAAAGCCATTCACCCAGTCTCCCCCACAGCAGCAGTCCTGGCTGTCATCAGAAAGTGATCTAATTAAGTTGTCAGACATCCTGAACATCTCCCATGACCTGTAAGAACCTGGTTATTGGAGGTTTGTAAAGATGACTCTGGGTTAAGGCAGGATGGAAGAGAAATCAATTATAGCAACTGTGGGCTGGGAGAGGGTGTGCCTATGTGAGTAGTCATGGGAGGAGGTTGTGGGGGAGGTGAGGCTGGGTTTAAATCAGTCATCCTGACAGTGCTGAGAAGGTCAGTGAGCAGGTTTATCTAGACAGAGGAGCCCAAGGACACCTTGGATCTCCAGCTCTGCCTTGCTTTGCTCCTGAGTGGATCTGAAAACAAAAAGATATCCAAGGTTGAGAAGGGGTAGCCCAAGAGCCCCTGACTTGCTCTTGTTTTGCTGTTAAGTTCTCTCTGTCAGGCTCAGTAGGTTTACAAATAACGCTGTTCAAAGAGCTGACCCAGAGAAACTCCTGTGTGCTCAGAGCTCTTTTTCCTGAGCTGCTATGAAGAGCTGGAATCACTTGAAATCACTGGAGAGCAACACATGTCTTTTTCCTCCTCCTGAAACCCCATTAAAAAATCTAGAGGGGAGTAAGCTACAGCTTTGAAAACATTAGCAATCAATACATTGATGTTGATGGCAGAGAAGTAGTTATGCAACCCATTTTGCCTGGCCTCCCATCTGCCCTTGAAAAAAACTTTCTAGGGCCATCCAGGCTCTGGACTTATTGTCAGGCTGACCTAAAGTGGAGAGAGCTGCCACCCATAACCCTTGGGAAATGGATCCTGAAGGTTTTGAACCAAACATAGGGCCAATCAAACTTTTTTTTTCTGCACAGAGCTAGATAGAAAATTCTAGGTTTTGTGGGTCAAGAGACAAAAAGATATGTGGATGCTTTGGGTGGGTACTTAAAACTTCCACAATTTTTATTCATCTAATTTACTGATCAACAGAGAGCAAATTATGACAAGAACTCCTGCTCTTGGTTTTTCATTAGACTGTAGGATCCTCAAAGTATTCATAAAAGCAAACTGACCTTTATTCTTTTATTGTCATTATGAATCCTTATGTATTTGAAAGGCATGGGGAGACAGATGAGAACAGGGAGAGGGAGTGGGGAAAGGGAAAAGGGAAGGAAGAGAGTGGTGGATAAGGGGAGGGTGAAGGTGAGGATGAAGGAAAAGGGCAGAACGAGGGTGAGGGAGAAGGGAAAAGATCTGATCCAGGCCAAAGTGACGGGTCTAGAATTTAGGTCAGGTTTCCCATGCGGCTAACAGGTACCCAGGTGTCTGAACCTGCAGCTTCCCAGTGTGTACACTAGCAGGAAGCTGTATCTGAAGCAGAGCAGCAGGCATTTGAACCCAGACGCTGAGTATGAGTATGAATATCCCTTGGAGGCTTAACTGCTGTGTCACAGCACTTATCCAGCAGCTGACCAGTAAATCTGCTCATCTTAAAAGCAGGAAAAGAAGATGATGGTGGCCATCCAGGCAGAGCTCAGCTAAAGAACTGACTTGCTTTTGTCTCCCTTGGAAAAAGACTAGTGTGCTTACTCAGTGGAGGGCCCTCATCCTAAAGGCTGAATGTTCTGAAGGATCTGGTCCCTTCAACCTATATTAAGCAATAGGCAAGGGAGAGAGAAAAGAGAAAATATCCTGTAAAGCTGAACCTCTTGAGACTCAAGCATGCTAAGAATTGTCACATATGCAATCTCATTTTATTTTGTTTGAAGCAGATTGTTCTTTTGGTTATATTGAGATCCTTCCCTTTCTAGGCTTCTGCTTGCAGAGACCCAGCAGGGTAGGGGAAGATTTTAGGGGTTTCATGTTGCTCACTTTCCTGAGTCGCTAGCCACATGTGTAATATGCCTTCCTTGTTGGAGTGTAATTACAGGGTCTCAGAATTTTGCTAAGTGCTATTGGATACCAAGTATTTTGTCATCAGTGCCAGTTTTGTCATATTTTTTCCCCCTGCGTGCACTTGCATGTCCCCACTGAGTGGAAGGATTTTTGCATTAGATAAGCCACTCAAAGTAAGAACAGCTGGAGACAAGCTGCACTAAACATGAATCTTCTGATTCCATTTTCTGTAGATTAAAGGACAGTGAAGGTAAGAAAAATAAATACTGTCATCACAGATTTATCTTTTAGAGACAAATCTGAGACATGTTGACTCTTAAAAGAAAGGTATCCTTTCTTTAAAAGTACATTACTAAATTCCAGGAAATTTCTGTCACTGAACAGGAGTTGGTCAAGAGCAGATAAAATGTACACATCCCTTTCATAGCTTTGGATTAAAAAGATACAGTGAAAGTCATTTTCATGTAGAACAGTGAGAAAGCATGAGGCCTATGTAAAAATACCCCAACAATTTGTAAAAGAATGCTACAATGCTTTTTTAATAGGTGGAACTGCCCTTGCTTCTCTAGATGTCATTGTATTCATCTAACGTTGATGGGCCTCATGAATATTTGAGTAGCCCATCATACCTATTTCTTGGTCATTTTGCAGAGTACATATACTACCATGCTTGCTCCCTGTGCAAAAGATTTAGAAAGTCATTTATTAATGAGTCAGTGCATTTAAAAATATCTCTGGGGGTCAGAGAGAATAACTGAGACTAATTCAAAAAGATGAGTGTTTGAAGAAAATGAGATGTGGTCATCTTCCGTGCCTGGACCTGAGCAGGAATGCATGTCATGGTGCTGGAGGAATGGCCATGACTTCCTAATTCAGTTTCCTCTTGCTTGTTGGCTTTGGGTGACTGAAGCTTTGCCAGGCAATAACTAACTTTATTGATGCCTGAGTTATTCTGTCCTTTGGAACAGATGCAACAACACAGGAGGCCATCATTCAAAGAGCAATTTAAAATACTTGAATTGCACCACAGAATTATAAATTATTAATGAGATTCCATGTTGTGATTCTGAAATGTGAAGATGGCAGAAAAACACAGAACCAGAGAGCGATTTAAATGGTGAAATGCCAAGGTTATTCAAACATGGAGTGACCATTATGAAAGAAGATCATTAAGAGAAAATCCAGATGTTACTATATTAGATTCCCTCTCCCGCCTCCCCCTTGCCAATCCTGTTACTTACAGTATCACACTCTCAAAACTCAGCCCCACAAAAGAATTCCTTTCAATTGTCTGGATGTTTATGTTGTCTTGAACATCTCTATAAGAAAGTGCAGACAAATGAGTGCTTTACTTCAGTTCCGTTAATTCCATGTTTTGTCTTCTTGACATGATGTACCTGTTTAGCTGATGGCAATCTTTTAATGTATTTTTGGTTGAGAGAAATAATTATTGGAAATTTTTGGGAAATAATTGGTCCTCAGCTTACTGTATATCAGTACATGTGAAACATGCAATGGAAGACAGGCAGTGCCTTCTCTTTCTGAAGGTATCCTTAGCTAATTTCATTGTGTTCAGATTCTGGCATCATTTAGTAGCCTTGCCTCCTAAGTTGCTCAATATGACAGTCAGTTAAACTGATATGTCAGCTCATACCAGACTTCCTTATTCGCTTTATTTCAGCTTTCTTCCATCTCTGTCTCCTTCTTATGGTTCAATTCCTTCCTTCTATTCTGCATGGGTTACAGAACAATTTCATCATCAATTTCATTCTTCTTGAATGAAAGGAAGGAGAAAGACTCAATCCTGCTACATTTTGCCCTTTTCCCCATTTGTATTCCTTGTCCTTTCTATCAAACTCCCTCTGGCGTAACAAGTAAGGCCAATGAATAAATGACTTGGAACATTAGAGAAATTCTGGGAGAATCTATTTCTCTCCCCCACCTTCACTCCTTAGCTGTTTACGCTCCTTCCCTACACCTTCCTTTTGTGTTTGTCCGTGCTCTTATAATTTTTTTAATTGGAAAGAAAGTTGCCATTCTATATTTCTTTCTCTCTTCTTCACTCACAGTACAGATTCCTTGGGAAATGGCAAACACATCATATCACTAATGCTTTGGTAGAAACTTGTCAGATCATTTCTTTATGCCTGGGGCAGCATAAAAGTTCTGGAGGAAAGAGCAAATGATGCTAGAAAGCAGAGGGGAGTTGCAAGAGCAAAGTAAATGAAAAAACAGAATGACTTCCTGATTTTATTGCATGTTGGCTGTATTGCCGATACTCTTGTCCAGGAGCCTTTTGACTTCCTCTCAACTAATTTAGGCTGACCTGCAGGTAAAGCCAAGGGCTTGCTCCTTGCCTTCCTGTTTCGATTTATCCAGCACAATATGTTTAGTGAATGAATATAAGCTACAAAATGCAGAAGCCTGCTGGGCAAGACAGCTGCTGAGTAAAGAGCTGGCAACTTCTCATGGAGAAACTTACAGTAAAACTTTTTGGAGAGACTGAATCTTGTGAACATCTGGCAAGTGCTTGATACCTGTATTGGATATTAACCTAGAGCAAGACAAAAGTGAGAGTGAGAAAAAAATGAAGCTGGGTGTTGAACTTCTAAGAACAGATTCTGCACTTGATCCTAGTCAAAAGACTGAGAAGCAGTTGAACCTGGCTATTTAAAGAATTGTTAGAATATGAACCTTGCAGATTCAGCATGTTAGTTTTGAATGATTAGAAGCAAACCTATGAGAAAAGCCCAACAATGTCATCTAGTTTTAGTCATATTAATAAAAATTATATTTTATTGTTTAAGTTCTAACTGGGGTCTTATAAGCTATTGATTCCTTAGAGCAAGTAACACTTGAGTCATCAAGGCACTGGTGTGGCACAATTCACATTATTTTTAAGATTGTTAATATTTAAAAGCAATTTCAAAGTATATAAAATAATTTTCCTAAATTGTCTCCTATTTCCAACATCCTGTTACTTGTTGGATAACTGCCTTTTCCCCAATCTAAAGATCATTCAGGTTAGCATGTGAGTTTCTATGCCCTTAAACCTGAATATACAGGGGACCTCAGCTGGACCAGTTCAGCTCACTCCTGGGAGGTGAGTAGAAAAAGCTGGTGAGGCTGGCAACTTTTGGTGCCATCACAGAAAGAGACAGTCCTAAATACCTGCAAGCTGAGATATCCAGACCAATGTTGGAGCCTTCTCAAAGTCTCATCATCTTGGCCTGGCTTCCCCAGTAAGCAAAGCCTGAGATTAAGGCTGGCCTGTGGGTAATTGATTATATGACTTTAGAACATTCAGTGTAGAGGTGTGAAACACAGAAGGAGGAAAATTGAGCACAAGGATGAATTATTGAGTTGGCCAATTATCTGCTTCATCCCAAGGCCTTGATGTAGAAGATTTTAGATTATATATCAGAACTGTTTGGCTAAAAAGAGGACAGTAGTGAGGGGAAGAATTTATTCATAGACTCTTATTTCCCACTGATTAAACTGACCCTGTGGTATTAGTGCCCTTCTTTTGGCTTCAACATTTGTTAGTATCTGGGGATTGTTGATGAATGTATTTTATAGTGAAGTAGAAGAACTCCAGAGCAGGGAGTAAGAGGTATACTACGGACAGACCCCGTGCTGTCCAGGTGCACCTGCAGTAAACTGGATGAGTTTTCGGTGTCGGTATCTGCTCTGGTACAGATGATGGCCTTCCAAAAGTGCGTTAGAACTGTCTGACACATTGCTCTCTAGCTTTTCCCTGTTATTCAAAATACTTTTAATACCACTCTAGTCCCATTTCCTTTATCTCTGTGTGACTTGCCTAAGCTGAGGTTGATTTTGGGACTTTCATCCGAAAGAAGTCTCATTAATATTCTCCTCACAGCAAAGGACCCTCTGCTTTTGGGGGTTTAAGACTTAAAAGCAGACTTCAGTATGTTGTTATTTAATTCTATATGTCTGTGAATGCTAGCTCTGCATTCTATGGAAGGGCTCCCATGTGTTTTATCCCCTCTTGGTTAATGAATATAGAACCCAACTCAGACAATTGCCTCAGTAAATTGCCTAGAAAAGTTATCATCTTGTTTAATCAAACTTTTGGGATTTCATTTCAGAAAAACATAACCTTTTTGACATAGAAGACTATGAATTAAGATAAATGGGGATACCTGAGCCACGGAACCACTATCATGATACCAATACCAAACACCGAGTCACTATCGGAGTTGTCCTGTACTTTCCCTTTGTAGTTAACCTTTCCTTTACCTCCCGTTTCTAACAACCATTGAGCAGTGTTTCATTTCTAAAATTTTGCCTTTTCATGATGTCGTATTAACATTTAATATGCAAGTGTTGAATGTGGCTTTTTTTTTCACTTAAAAAAATCCAGTCAACATACTTTCATATTGTGTGTATCAGTAATTTATTGTTTTGTCTTTTGGATGTTTTGCTTAATTTTGTATTTGTGGTTAGTATTTTATTTTTAATTGCTAAATATTATTCCATTGTATGGATGTGCCACTGTTTGTTTATCCATGTGCTGATTGGAGGCTATAGAGATTATTCCCATTTTTCATAGAATCTGTGTGTATGTGTGCATGCACAAGTTCACCTCAAAAAATTCTTGGGAAGCGGAATTGAAAGATACATTTATTTTGATGTAAAAAATGCATGCAACTGTTTTTAAATAGTCCACAGAAAATGTATATCATGAGAAAAGTATGCCTGATCTCAAAAATTTTGTGCAGCAAATCCAACTTGCCTCTCGTTTCCATTTCCATGAACATTTTGAAGTACTCTTATACATGAGTGTGTAATATGTGGGTTTAAACATTTATAGAGAGTTTATGTGTATGTGAGGATAGATTGTTATTTCTCTTGTGGGATTGTGGGGTTGTGTTGAATTGTGAACATGTGCTTAACTCTGTGAAAAAGCACTGAACTATTTTCCAAAGTGGCTGAATCATTTTTTTTTCAGTTTTATCCAAAATCAGTGGAAGCTCTAATTATTCTATATCATTTAGTTGTTAGAAAAAAGTTTGTTCTTTGAGCATAGAAGTAATACAGATCTCTTGTGAAATACATGAAATTGTGGGAGAGGTGGGGGGAATCCCAGTGCCTATAAAACTGTATCACATAATAAAAAAAAATAATAATAATGAAATACATGAAAAATGTAAAGATGCAGAGAAGTAAATGCTCCTGTATTAACATTCAGAGATAGCTTCTGTCCACATCTAGATGCTTCTATTAAAACAAATGACTCGCTTGCCAGCTCTCGTAACTCTTGAAATTCTACTTATTTCCATCAAGAATATTTCTGTGAGTCTGAGTACCTTCAGTACCAACACAGTCGTGTTCCATACTTGTTAGTTAATTACATTCAGCCCTCTGCCATTTTTAGATATCATCCCACATGATTGTATATGGTTCCATTGAGCTGTCAAATCAGTGATCATATTTAATATTTTCTGACAATTTTATACTACTGCACTAGGTTTAGAATGCTATGTGTGCTCATAAAATACAAGATTAATTAGCTGATGTTTCTAAAGCATTCTTGCTTCTGTAACCCAGAATGTATCAAAACTCCTTTTCAGGTAATTTACTTGTCAGGTAAGATTGCTAGTTGGTGGTAGTCAATCTTAAACAGAGGTAGGAAGGTCTGGAGACCAGGAACCTGGAGAACCTACATGCCAGTTCTGGTGGACCTAGCAATTTCATCTCTGCAGGAAAAAAAAATGATCCTGATGATAATGTTAAGAAAGATGTATTACATACTTCTGTTCTGGAACTTCCTATTCTTTGATTCAGCCTTTACTCTAGATGTTACCATGCCAACCACCCGTGTACAAACTTAGCTGGCCAACACTTGCCCCAACTATTTTGCTTAACTCTCATTTTCTGCCTGGGATTTCTCTGCTCCCTCCAAGTAGAGACATTTAAGAGGAACCTACTAAATCATAGTGAGGCATATTCAAGTTTAGAAGTACTAGAAACTCCTGACTACTGGTAAACAACTTCTTTTTCTTTTTTTTAAGATTTATTTATTTTTATTGGAAAGGCAGATATACGGAGAGGAGGAGAGACAGAGAGGAAGATCTTCCATCCGATGATTTACTCCCCAAGTGACTGCAACAGCCAGTACTGTGCCAATCCAAAGCCAGGAGCCAGGAACCTCCTCCAGGTCTCCCACACCGGTTCAGGGTCCCAAGGCTTTGGGCCATCCTCGACTGCTTTCCCAGGCCACAAGCAGGGAGCTGGATGGGAAGTGGAGCTGCTGGGTTTAGAACTGGCATCCATATGGGATCCTGGTGCATTCAAGGCGAGAACTTTAGCTGCTAGGCCTCCGTGCTGGGCCCCTGGTTAACATCTCTCTTCCTTGTCTTGGGGGAGTCATTCTGAATATTTTTACATATGTCTTGGAAAGGCTCTAGCATGAATGAGTTCCAGTGCCAGCTGGTGGTGGTCCACTTGCTAACACATTGTTGAGCTGGCTTTCCTTTTTTTTATTATTATTAACATTGTATTATGTGATACAGTTTTATAGGCACTGGGGATTCCCCCACCCTTTGCACACCCCTCCCCATATAGTGGATTCCTCCACCTTGCTGCATAACCTCAGTTCAAGTTCAGTTGAAATTCCTTCATTGCAAGCATATACCTAGCATAAAGTGAGCTGGCTTTCCTTTCTTTGTTTCCCTCTTCCTAGTCATGCAAACATTTTGGATGCACATGAGTCCTTACTTGGACATTTTCTCCCTAGAACGCAGCCCAAGACATAAAAACTTACAGTGAATTTCACATTTTACATAGACTCATTAATTGTTACAAATCTTCTTTTACTTCATTTCTGTTAGTTCTTCTCATCTTTCTTCTTGCGCAATAAAGTTTCCAGAAAGAGTTGTCTGTACATGCTTTCTTCATTTTCTGGAATTTCATTCATTTTCCACCAGCCTTTGTTGTATATCTCTTTTTCCAAAACTATTAAACCACCAACCACCAGCTACCAAAACTAGTCCAAAGCTAGTGAACACTTTGAATTCTCATTTTATCACATGTTTCTGGATTATTAGTACTTCGTGCCACTCTCTAGTTTTGGTTTCTGTCATGTTTTACTCTTTTGTTGCTCCTCTACCCACTTGTACTCTGGGCCTTCTCCCTGCAACCCCCTAGACTTTTTAGGTAGATCTCATTTCCCACAGCTTTAAGGAATATCAGTGACCCCCAGAATCACACTTGTTTCCTTATCTCTCTTGAGTCTATTGCTACTTATTAAAATGTACTTCAGTGAACACCCTTACTCTTGTTCTGTGTCACAGTTCCTGGATTTGCATCCTGGCTCTGACCCTTGCCCCCAGCTTCCAGTTCCCAGTGCAGACACTAAGAGGTAGCTGATGATGGCTCATATAATCAGGTTCTTGCCACCCATTTCAGAGACCTGGATTGTTTTCCAGTTCCTGCTTTCAGCCTGGTCCAGACCCTGTCATTATGGGCTTTGGAGATGGAGTCAGTCTCTCTCTGTTTCTGTCTGTCTCTCTCTCTTCCCTTCTGAAA